GAGAAACCTGTTCAGTATACATTTTGTTTAAAAAGCTCAAAATATTCTGCAGCTTTTGGACTTTTTTTTGAGACAGATCATTTTATTTGTTCAAACAATAGATATAGAACAAAACGTTACTGAACATTTTCGTCATTGACACATTTTTGGCATGTGTATGTGTAAAGAAATTTGAGGCGAAGTCAATGTTATAGATAGCTCATTAAAATATATATGAAAAAGCACAGCGATAATGAAGCGATGCTTAATATCCATGGGGAAATGTAAAGAATGCATTCTCGCGATTCTTAAAGAGAGAGAGAGAGAAAAAACATTTGCTCTATATCCAAAGTATAATACGCAAACATGCAAAACGATAGAAACAAATACATGTGCATGTAGGTGTATAACAATAAAAATGCATTTTCACACGAACAATATACTCAATTACAGTCAAACCTTAAAAAAGGTCATCCAATTAATAGCCCACGCATGGCCTTTATAGACAAGTGATATTTATTTGAAATTTACTATATTGAATTTTTATCAATGCAGACCGGTGTGTCACAGTGCGGTCTTTTATTTGCAGGTGGTCTTTATTCGGTGGTGGTCTTTCACACAGGTTTGACTGTAAGCAATTTAAAAGTTTGTCCGTTAGAGCAAAGCCCCACTCACACGACGAACTTTATTAAAGTGTATGAAGCTATACTGTTATATGCTGCAAAATATTATTTGAATTTTGAAAAAGAATGCTTTGAAATTAACTGTACTGTATAGAGAAATATATTTGTATGTTTCGTACAAAGCTATATATCTGCTGCAAAAATAATAATAATTAATGACCATCGCTTTATAAATATGGCCAACTCATAACCAAGCATGAAAACAAAATCAATTTATTATAATGCATAATGTTTTGTATAACATCGGCTTAACTTAAGTAACATATAAAACATTTGTCATGCAACACGACAAAAAAATCTAGTTTTGCACATTCAATGATTATTATTCTGTATCAATGATGGGATTATACTGTTTTTGAAACAGACCAGAATCATATAAACTTCCGTTACCATACTCGTATGCAGAACTCTCGAGATGAACGTTGTTAGGCAAATGCCACATGAAGTTGTTTTTTTTTCTTCGTAGGATAAAGTGATACTATCTGTCAAATAGCTTTGTCTATATGCGGAAGACAAAACCGCAAAATTGTTTTTAACTTTCGTTACCCTTGCTTGAATTTCTAAGAACAGTCTTGTTTTATCTACTGTATTGTCAATAAAAATTACGAGGGGTAATATCATGTATATGCTTATGTATAAAAAGTTTGTGTTAAAAACACATTTCTATCGTTTTGCAATCAAACAATTTAATTAATTAGTAATTTAACTTCCGTTACTGTTCAGATATATTTTCCCACGACGTCAGCATCAAACATGTACATGGAAGTACAAACACTTTCATATTGCTACATTTCTCCATTCACAGAAATACAGTTCTCACATAGATAACCTTATTTTTCGAATAAAACTTGTTAGAGTTAAATTGTACAGGATATTAATGAGCACTCACCAGTTAACGATCGGAGCTAATTTTGATTTAACATTATAGCAACTCTTTTGCATTTTTTAAAGTATGCTGGCTTCAACTAAAAAATCATTTTAGAGTGTTTTAACAATCTCTTATCATCATGATAGCATAGGTAGGATAACATTTACCAAATGTCACGGAAGTTAACAGTAAAAACCGATTTTCAATATTTATATTATTTAGAAAGAAACAACAACTATTAAACCATCTTCTTGTAAGCCTAAAAAATCTCTATGAACCATTATAGGGAAGTTATACCTTACAATGTTCCTTAACTTTTGGTCACGGAAGTGAAACACGTTTTTTTTACTCAAGGAAACTGTAAGATGGGCTATGATGCTCGTCGACTTAGTAACTTTGATAACATTTAAGGGTAATTTAACAATTTAAAAAACAAATCCACTGATATTATATTTAAAAACACGACATTATTGAACATACCATTATAAAACAAAGTTTAATAACTGTCACGGAAGTTAATACTATTTTGGAGACATAGAAGTATCAAACCAGGCTGTGAGGTTATGAACTGGGCTGGACATGTTACCTCTTTATAAGTAGAAGATATAGGTCTATTTTAGTTACTGGGAAAAGTTTTTTCTTAGAAATTTCAGTAACTGTTGTTAAGACTCATTTGAACTATACCACGCTTACTAGCGACAGGGGAAAAAGACCGATTTTGAATGTTTTTGAGAATGGTGTAAGGTATTAAAATCACATTTTGTCCGGTTTTGGCATATTTGTAGTGTTTTAAGCATTGGCACATTATTTTTACCAAAAAATTGATTTACTAAAGTTATGAATACATTGTAACGTATCCGGGACATCAAAAAATTGCGAAACAGCATGAAATTTTAAAACAACTGGTTTGAACTTAAGAAAAGAATACTTCCAAATGACAGTATGAAAAAAAATCTTGAGAAAAATTGCATTAAAAGCAAATGACGCATGACGAATTGTTAAACAGCTAAACCCTTTAAAACATTTTACCATGTTTATATACAATATCATGTATGTCAAGAGACAAGTCACAAGTTTTTCAACATAATGGAAAAAAACACCCATAAATTACTTTTTAAAAATATTTAAATTCCATATTAGATATAACTTTATAACCCTTTAAGTTGAATATCACGCGCATGCAGTGGACGATATAAATTATAGTGCAGCAAATGTTTTGTTTATGCAGCGAAATTGACAAATACAACATACAAAATAATGTAGTACAGGAGTAATGAAACTGACATATTATGTTTGATTTGACGGAGTTATTTGTTTTTGACATGACGGGACTGGAAATAATTTTGCGATATTTAAGTTAGATTTGATGTAGATTCTATGTTTATACCAATAACTTGTGTCTTATAATTCAGATCATTCGCTCACTTCGTTTTTCTAGAATTAATTGTAAAAAAAACTCAAAATTGACAAAAAAAATGTTGCAACTCTTTTCAAAATTATTTCTGATTTGATTTTTTAAATTATGTTGTGCATATCTTTCTGTTTTAAGTTTCTCAGCAAATTTATGTAAGAAATATGAATTTGCTGTTTTTAGGCTTTTTTCATCCCGGCGGAGTTCCATTAAAGGAGCTCTAGGAGGCTTAAAAACACCAAATCTGGAGTTCTCAAAAACGAGTAGATCAGTGAATGTATTTAACAGAAAGATTATCAAAAGATAATTAAGGCAGAATCCTTAGAAATAAATTCAAATGGTATTTGTGTGCTATTCTTAGCTCGATTCAAGTCAAAAGCGTTGCAACGATATTGACTACAGAAGTGACTGCGAGAAATGAACATTTCAATCTACAATTTGGTAATTACTGAACAATATATAAAAATACATTATCCAGGATATGTGCAACGATTGTATGTGCCGCTGAATTTAGCAATCGGAACACCTCGACAATTATTCATAAATGTCTTTATTCAACGATTGACGGAAAGAGTATATGTGATATATATTTTTGTCACCATTATATAATATTTTATTTGTCCTTTTTATTGGTTTTGTGTAAATATATTATACATGTTTTAGAGTATCTGGTCTGATTTACCGATGTTAAGTACTCGATTCATTATAAAAATGATTGTGTACGCAATATTTTATTCATCTTTTGACATTTTTATTAAATTCTGCGCGTGTTAATAAAACTAATCATCACACACAATTTGACATGATGTATTGTTAGCCCATACCTTTACTGAATATATGTACGTCACAATGCGTTAAGTTTGTTTTTCTATAGTTATCTAAAAGAATATGAATATTTTCACCGAATAAGTAAAATGAATAAATGGATGGATGAATGGATGAATGAATGAATGAATGAATGAATGAATGAATGAATGAATGAATGAATGAATGAAGGAACGAATGAAGGAACGAATGAAGGAATGAATGAATGATGTTTTAGTGTAGAAACCCTTAGATATCTGTAGTTTTTTTTCTTTAGTTGCAGCAATTCATACTGATATCATTTATTTTTGTTCTTTTCCTTTGAAATCTCTTACATTTGAATGTCATGTCTGCAGTTTAATGTTTAAAGCAGCATGCCTTCAGATTCATGCTTATTTTTAATGAAATTTTGAAAATGTATTCAAAATTAAATTATTATGAAAGGAAAACAAGTAATTTACACGTTGCAAGACGGCACTTACAATCCACATATATTACGAAAAAGAGGTCAAAATATGCAAAATAGCTTTTACTGCGTTAGTCAAGCAGTATAAATATTGTTATAAATACTGCAAAATCAGCCATAAATCGCGCATAACATGTGAATAATTACATTTATGAATTATCAATCTTGCATATTTTTATCAATTTCTTCAAATCTTAATGCATTTGTTTCAAGTTTGATTTTACTTGAGATATTTTGACTCATCTGAGGTCATGCAACTATTCCACTGAGTTATTTTGACATGGCGGGACTGGAAATATTTTTTTACATTAATGTTCCATTCGATGTAGGTAATGACTAATAACTTGTGTGAATAATTTCAGATCATTAGCTCACTCCGTTCTTCCAGAATAATTATTATTCTAATTGTGAAAAAGACACAAAACGAGCGTTGTAACCCTTTTCCCTCAAATTTGGCAAAGAATAGCATAAAAATACGATATTTTCTCTCTTTATTTCTGAGTACAATCAAATGTAAATTTCTTAACTTCTTAACAATCTATCGCATATTTTTCGTTTTAAGTGCTGTTCTATCTAATTAACTATTTTAGGCCTTTGGTCCTCAATGGAGTTCCTTTAAATACAACTCAGGGAAATGTTATATTCTGATTTATTCTTATTTTATATCATTACTATTTAAGAACGCTTTCATATCATGACAAATATGTAATCTGACCTGTCAATATGTGGTATTGATATATAAAAACATTATATAAATCATATGTAATAACTTATTTATTACATTATTCGTTTATTCACAATAAACCGCGGTCAGTTGTCGACACAGCTTGTTTTGGTAAAGTAAGTGGAATTTGTTCTTTTTTATCGTTTATATACACTTCTGTAAATCTTTTATTTATTTATTTTTTATTTATTTATTTATTGTTATTCAACAACTAATTCATTCAATGTAGTTATTATTATTCTTAGTTATTAGTAAAATAAATTCATTTATTTGAGATATACATATATTTAATCACTGATTTTCAGTTTATCATTGCTTGCAGATAGTTAGTCTTTTACTTATTTTCATAATTAATTCAACTATTTGATATATTCTTTTATCCTTTTGCGGATATTTAATTAATAATTTTTGTCAGTCTAGTAATTCTTTTAGATATTTGTGATATATTATCTTATAATCTCCTTTATCTATTTAATCACAGATATTTAATTGATGATTTCTTGAGTTTGTTTATTAGCTCATATATGTGTACGATTAAGTCATCTATCTGTTATGTAATCACCTATTCTAGCATTAATATTCAACTTATTAAATTCCTTCATTTATTCATTTAAGTTACCAGTGTCTTTCGTTCATACCTGTAATATATTTATCTATTTATAATAACTGTAAATGAATGTAAAATGTGTCCCCAATTTTGTTACGGTATTTTGTGTTTGAAATAATTTAAGGGTTTGGAGGGTATATGCATTTTGTCAATAAAAACAGCCGCATTTCCATTGAATCAAACAAGACAATTAACAAACATATTTGAACGATTAGTAATATAAACATGACCCATCTAAAAGTAAGTTCTATATCACAAAAATGTAATTTGTTATTTTCAGGAAGATGTTGGGTAGACTCAGTACCAGACTGCGCAGGCGCAGCTCTGCTTTTGCTGGAACCTATAATTACGTTATTTTTGTTCAGACTGGGGACCGGCCCAAAGCAGGCACTGATGCAAACGTATATATAGTTCTATATGGAGAAGGGGACAAGAAATCACCGGAAACAAAACTTGATGTTTTATTTCATGACGATTTCGAAAGAGGTCAATTGGATAAATTCAAGCTAAAGTTTCAACCGGTATATTGTAGAATTGCTTCTTGCAACATGTTTATGATATAACCATTTTTAATTGACGACATAAGAAGGCAATTTATCATCATTTAAAGAGACTACTGTAAAATTATTAACATTTATTTTTTTAACCATTGTTAATCAAAATGTGATCATTGACACAATTTAAATTTCATTTTATTTTAAGACATAGTTAAGTGATCTAAACCTAGTAACATTATTTAAAGGGGGAAATTACGATAAATGTATCTTTTTCATGCTTTAGTTTTCTGAGCTGCAGTATATAGAGATATGGCGAGACACATGCGGCTTTAAGCACGAATGGCACATTGACACAATCATGATCGTAAATAAGGAGACAAAAACCAAGACTGTGTTTCCAATATTTCGCTGGATACGACCAAATTATCGCTACAAATTCTTTCCTCTGGATACCAGTCTCCCTCAGGATGACACATGTACAGGTAATGGTAACCGGGAGTCGTTTCTTTAGAACTGTCATGAAGAGAATCGCACTGGAATAATGAAAATGCTTGATGCTTTTCTTTAAACAATCTTTCTTTTTTCTAATTTCATGATAACTTACTATTTTTACAGACCAACGCCAAAGGGAATTAATAGAAAAGAGAGAATTATATCAACTAGAGCAAAAGGCGCCCGGACTACCCCCTCAAGTTAAAATCCTGCCCCCAGACGAACAGTTTTCATTTGAAAACACTTGGGACATTACCAAGTTGAAGACTAAATTGATCTTGACCAGTAAGATTGTTCAGTTGACCACTGGACGCTGGAAAACCTTAGACGATATAAAGAATGTGTACACCAAGAAAGTGTTTGTGAAACCGTTAAATTTAAACAGGTAAATATTTTTAATCACAATTGATCTACATGAATTACCCGGAAAATAATAACTGTAACATTTATGTGTATATTTTGATAAATGATTTAATATAAATGAATCTGTATTTTTAATATGACTTCCTCATATATTTATTGAACACCAAATCGATTCAGTGACATATATAAATCAATTTATTTTTCAGATGGCGTGACGATGTTGAATTTGGTCGTCAGAGGATTGCTGGAGTAAACAACGTATTCATCCGCCTGTGTCAGAATATTCCCGCCAAATTTATGGTCACAGACGAAATGCTTGAACCATTTCTAGAGGGACTTTCGTTAACACTCGCACTGAGCGACAGGCGAATTTTCATAGTAGATTATGAAATCCTCGAAAACTGTCCAAGAAGACCCGATATTCAAATATGTGAACCAATGGCACTCTTCTTTTTACAAAATGACGGTTCACTAGTTCCTATAGCCATTCAGCTTCGTCAAGTTCCGTCAGACGACAATCCAGTGTTTCTGCCTACAGACCCACCATACACTTGGATTATGGCCAAAATGTGGTTCAACAACGCAGATGCGTGCGTTCATCAAGCGATTACACATTTAGGTTTCACTCATTTGGTAATGGAAGGTATAATCACCGTTACACACAGACAACTTTCACAGTCACATCCGGTTTTTAAACTTTTGGCGCCACATTTTCTTTACCTCATTAACATAAACGCCAGAGCGTTAGAAAAGATTATGGGTCCTTCTGGATGGATAGAAGAAATAATGGCAATAGGAGTGGCCGGCTTTCACGAGTTGATACGACGATACAAAGCAAAGTGGAATCTTGACACTGATGGAACACTTCCGATGGATCTTGCGCAACGCGGAGTAGATGACCCGGAAATACTGAGACAATACCACTTCCGGTCGGATGCTGTAATGCTTTACGAAGCTCTAAGAACGTACGTTTCTAAATATCTAAGGATCTATTACGACACTGATGATAAAATTTTAGCCGATGAAGAAATTCAAAAGTGGCGGGAAGAAATGGTGGAGTCCGAGGCGAATGGTGGGTTAGGCATTTTAGGTATTCCAGGAAATTCTGGAAAATTCATCAGCAAACCACAACTGATCACTGTGTGCACTTGTCTAATCTACACATGTAGCGTAGGCCATGCTGCAACAAACTTTAAACAATACGACGAGTATGCGTTTCCTCCAAATTATCCGACGAAATTAAGCGGTTGCCCACCAAGGAGTAAAGATCCACTGACTGAAGATGATGTTCTTGCAGCTCTCCCGGACAAGCAGACGACTCTTAATACAATGATTATCACGAAGATTTTAAGCCAGAAAACGGGCAGATCTCTGGGAGATTTTGAAGTGAATTACGTGTATGATCCTGCAGCGGTACAAGTTGTAAAGGAGTTTAGAGAAGATCTGAAGAGAATAAGTTCTACAATAAAGACCTTAAACAAGTCAAGGAACCCACCATATCCTTATCTAGACCCGGCTAATGTGCCTAATGCTGTAAGCGTTTAGGGAAAGTATGGCGTAAAACAATTAGCCCCGCCTTATTCTACTTGTTGCTAGGTCAACTGCTCAAGAACATGACCATGCGTTCTTTTGTGTAATTCACGTCAACCATCTGTGCACATTGGTGAGGGCAAAAGTTGTCTAATTTCAGACATTGTTACGCACTATAAAATTATAATTTCCTAGGCAACGTTTAAGGAACGTTACATTCAGGTTATTAAAACATTGTAAGGTAGTATAGTACAGAAACATTGATTAAACATACAAAATATTTTAATGATTTCTAGTACAATGTCTAATAAATTTCTTTCTTTTGCAATATCCTTTTAAACATACATGACTAAACAATGCACATATATGTATAGCAATTATAAGTTTATAACAATATACAAAGTCAATGGTCTTAAAAAACACATGATTTTAATCAATAAATAGTGTTAACTTCTATTGCAAATGAGCCATTGCACGTAGATGACTATAGTTGTAACAAATGATCAATTTTTCTCTCAAAGATACTCTGTATAACAATTGTAAAATCTTGATTAGAAAATACATTTGTTAAGCCTTTGTGTTGGCATGGTAACGGTGGGTTTCCAGCATCCAACCAGCATTCACTCACATATTTATATCATTTTTGAGAGGTATTGTAACAACATTATATATAGTGTCAGATTTGCAATGATTTGTTTCAGATGAGTATATTATAAATCTATGTGACGTGAAATACATTTAACGGAATTTTGTTTGTTTGTTTATAAGTTTTACGACGATTTAAAAACATATTTTTGTCATTTCTCGGAGGTCAGTCCACCTAACCGGGATAACTCTCCAGTAATTACTAATTTCTCCATAAGTGGCCGACAAAGTCAATCCTTTATGATTTCTCAATAAGCGATTTATCGGCACTTTATGTGTCACATGGGGTAATCATTTGTAAATAAGTAACAGAAACCATGTCACACGCCGGAAGGCTTACATAAAATCTAATGTACACGAGCCCTGTTCAGACAAAAAGTTTGGATGTGTATTGTTCAATACAAGAATAAAGCTTCAATCCAGATAATTATTTTACATTAGCCTTTAGAACCACATTCAGAGTTACTAGATGAATGCTAAGTTATCAGCATGACCAAGTTAACATAATAACTGCAAAGGTTCAACAATAGCGTGTTCCGAGTAAAATTCCGGTCAAAATACACGTATAAAATGTTCAATGCAACCAGTAAATCTATCGACAACCGTATGTGGTTCTATAAATACCGGTAATACAATGTTCGTTTGTCATTCTATAAGTAAATTATTATCCAGAACAAGACTGTATTGGACCTTTATAGATCTGTAGACAGCGATTTTTCGAGGCATATCCAGATAATGGTACTCTGCTTCGTCAACATCGTCAACATCACTACCATCTTGATTTGCGAGCGGTACTAGTTTGCGGGCGATATTAAATATAGCACTGAATTCTTTTATCATTTGCCGACTTCTCAAAGAGAGTTTCTTTTTGAATGGTATTGAAGGAATGAGTCACCTTCCTCGCTGCTGTCGTCTCGTCCATAATTGTTCTTTCCACTTGTTGTCGTAAAAATAGACTGATTCCGACGACGGTTATTTTGTACTTCCTTTCCTCGGTTTGAACTCCATTTGTAACAAGAGCACGAACAAACAGAAATTACCTCACTGTATTCAACCGCGGCGCGTTCTTGCGCGTTTGAGACAACGTGCACATTTCCATTTGATGTTATAACGTCGCCATCGAGGTGAATAGCGTTTTGCGCAGCTGCAGCGGCTTCGAGTTCGTCTCTTCGTTCATCTTCGGTATTCATCGTTAAAAATCGTAGCACCAGTAAATTCATAGCAGCAGATATTACTGTTAGGCCAAACAGTATAAAAATCAAACTGAAGACGACGTAATGAAGTTTTTCTTGCAAAGCGTCATCTTTTTGTAGCGCAACATAATCACCAAATCCAATAGTTGTCAGCGTTATAAAACAGTAATACAGTGAATCTAGAAATCCCCAATGCTCATAGTGGTCAAACATTAATGCACCGGAAGTTAACACGAGCGTCGATAGGTTCATGGTGACAAGTATCACGTGAGTTTCTGGCACTGTTCTATTGCGGAGCTTCAAACATTTTCTGATCTTTTTCAATGTATAGGTGATGAAAACATTAAGCCTCTCTCCCACACTCTGGAACATAATAATACACAGGGGGATCCCGGCAACAGCGTAAAACATACAGAAAATCTTCCCGCCAACTGTCTGTGGTGTACTGTGACCGTATCCTAGAACATATGAAGAATCAGACTATGTATCTTGCTAGATAATTTGACTGAGCACGATGTTTCAGAATTCTAGATTGTGTTCATGATATACAACTGTATGTCCATGTAGGAAAATGAATAAAGTGCAGGCGTATTAAGTTATTCTGAGAAATACTTAATGTTGTGTTAAAATATGATTTAAAACAAAAAAGAAATTCGTAATAGGCAATAAAATTGATAGGGTGAAAAAGCAGACGACAAATTGATTAAAATAAAACCCTTTTTCTGCGTATTGTTTTGGGACAAAGTAAAACGCAGTCTTACCAATGACTGTTACGACTGTGAGAGCGAAGTAGAAAGACCCGCTGAATTTCCACTGTATGCCCGAATAGTAGGGAACAGTTCTCTCCACGTTTTTACGTAATATCTCGAAGTCCGTCGGCGTCATGTTGTATTTATTTCTGAACATCATTTCATCTTCCAGTAAGTCAGCACGACGCTCAACCTAGTCAATGAAATGTAAAAATACATTGTACATGTATATAAAATAATCTGGTAAATGTACTGTAATTTGTCCATATGAAATAATTATACTAAAACGCCTTAACTTGCTCGTGTAACCAAAATGAATCGAGAAAACTAGAAGCACTGAGTTTCTGACAAATAATTTTTAACAAAACTGCATTGCTTTCACATGTTATTTAACATATTTAACATATTTCAATTATGAAACGTTATATAACAGACTCAATTGCTGACAAATACCATATAAATGTACCATATTTGATTGCTGACAAATATATTAAACAATCGATTGCTGACAAATATCATATTAAAACACTTGATTTTGACAAATATCATATTAAACACTTGATTGCTGACAAATATCATATGATATAACATACTTGATTGTTCAAAATATTAAATACTTGACAAATATCGTATTAGATACTTGATTTCAGATATATATCATGTCACATACTTTATTGCTGGTGGAGTAAGATCTCAGGTGCTCATCCGTTCGTTTTTGGCACGAAATGGCACCTGAATAGAACCAACGACTACTGTAAGCTAGCTTGATAACTCCTTCACATATAAAAAATTCCGAGTACATGGGTTCGAACTAACAGCGTTGAGGGACAGTTGGTTTGAAGTTAATGACCTTAACCACCCGACCACGGACTCCTATTTACCATTAAATGGAAAATAAAACATGTACCAAAAGCTTATACCTGTAATTTCAACATAGTTCTTTAAACACTGCACAGAACTACAAAAGAATTACTTTTCAGGCAGGGATCCAGGAATGTTGCCACAGGGGGGTCATCAAATATATTTATGCATATTCCAGAGAGGGTTAGGTATTTTACTTTTTCAGTAATTTGTAGTAACCAAAGCGCTCGGTTAAAGATGCACTAACACTACAATACTCACCTCGTATCTCGACTCAAGGGCATCAAACAACGCCGCCCCGACCAGCAGGTACGTGAACGTGCACACAATCAGTGACAACGTGCGCACGTTCTGACGCTTCATAATCTTCGATTTCATTGGTTAATTTGTCTTCTGCTTTCTGGAAATCAAAAGAAAGTCACATAAATAAAAGTACTAGATTCAAACACCACAACAGTGATAACGCCTGCATGTACTGGTATTTCAACTGGAAGTCACTTTTTATTGTGAAATATTGATTTTCTTGTAAAAATACGTATCTTTTGTCGACTGTCTGAACTTTATTAACGGAAGTATTTCACAACATAACTACAGTCCACTACACAATATCCTTCTGCCGAGAAATAGGCGTCGATAAACAAAGAATATCTTTAAAACTTATCATACAAAAGGAAGCAAATAGAGTCTACATGTACATAAATATATTGTTTTAACCTTTACCACACTTAATATCTTAAATGAACTTGTCTTTATTTCAATATGGACATAGCCATTCTTATGTTTAGGGAAAGTTTTCCTCTATACTAACTGAACCATGATCAGACTAGTTATCAACTGAGAAATCAGCCTTAATTGTTGTCTCAGTCCCTGAAAGGGCACTTTACGGACGTTAACTTGCTTCCATGCAGTACCGATCAATTTCAATGTCTGTTTATTCCAGTGAGTAGCTTAGAAATGATCTATGTATAAAGTAAATATTCTTCATTTGGAACACACGCGTTTCAAAACACTTATAACCATTAACATACATACATTTGTATATGTTTATCAGCATCCTGTTGTATTACAAAATATAATTATGTAATAGAAAGAGCACCGAAACACGAGGCTATCTGATTTGTACGAGGGGGCGTAGCCCCCGAGTATTAATCAGATTGCCGAGTGTTTAGGTGTTCTTTCTCTTTTGTATCATAGTCAAACATGACAGCACGTTCCCTGTTGTCATCATATGAAACCCCTGAAAAAATGAACCAATGAACGAGCATTTGAATATGATATTTCTGCCCCTTTCCCTTTCTCTGCCGTCACAATAAGTAAACCCCAGCAAAAATGAACCAATCAACGGGCATTGTCTGGAGTGCGGGTAACTAATACCTGCACTCCAGTTAACGCACTGTGCATGTATATGTATACGATTTAACTCTGACACTTTTTCAACAGAAAGGTCCCCAAACTATGATACAACTAAATATAACCATACCTCTTATAACACGATCGACCGTTTTAACACATTCCTTCTTTCTTTCTAAAATCGTTCATTTCCGAATATTTCTAAACAGCCGACTACACTTTACATTCGTTATGTCGGTCTGTTATTCCATTTATTTTTAACGCAGCCATATTAAACTTGACATCTTCTCCAGGCGTCAGATCTGTTTAGGCTGCTATAGGAAATCGATTTGTCCGTATACACACGCTCTTAATTTGTATCTAAACAGACAATCGATCGTAAGCTGCCTCTAACATTCAAATGTTATTGTCTAACAAGGTATCGGAAATTCCGTGTACCTTTACAAGTGCGAACATTTTATGCAGCTGCCAAGTTATGTAACGAATTTTTCAATACACAAGGAAAATGCTGAAGTTAAGAGAGAAGAACTCTGAAAAGCACTGTTGGAAATTTCTTCACATATTAAAAACTGTACAATGTTTATGAAGTTAAACGTCAGTAACTTACAGAAAAAGAATTAACTGTACTTTCTTACATTAGCATTTTTAAAGCTCCTCATTTGTTACATAACTAGCAACTAATTATAAATAATGTTTTCAATTACGTAGAAATAAAAACTTTGAGGATGTTAATATTTAGGCATTTAAGAATAAAACCCTAGTAAAATCGATTTTTTCAACGTGAAAGGGAAGGAGGTCACATAAATTAGGGTTACTGGTATTAATTAATTACTATATATACCTCTTACCTGAGCCTGTTATTATATAATTATGTTCTGATCGGTTTTTAACCTACAATCTAACAAGAATCCAGCCAACATATAGTTCGGTAACTTAAGATTTCAATTACAATCAAGGCTTCATTTTTGCTACCGGAAAACCCACATATTTACTAAATGAAGCACATTTTTGTGATCCACATTTCTTAATTGTGCCAATTTATCAGTTGTCATTTTCCTTTTATTTGTTTTCAACGTTGAAATAATGGCACTGCATCCATATTAAAGATGATATATCCGAATTTATTTTATATGTGATATTAAATGGCCTTAATTTATAGTGATATTATCTGTCACTTAATTAAAGCAAATGGTCTCTTTATACAGGCGACAATGTCTGATTTCTCGAACTAACCAGCACTGGTGTCACATTAGGAAAGATGGTCCTAATTCTACTGATACCAGTGGTGGTATAATTAAACAATACCCAACACTAAATCAATGTAATGTTATATAGTTTATTAATAACTAGCTGGTAATAGAGCATTTATAACTAAACAAAACATTGAAATAAAAATACATGATTTAAGGTTATCAATTATTATTGTTTTAATAAAAACTTTCTACGTAGAACTCTCTAAAATAAAACCAAGTATTAGTAGTAATTAAGATGTTTTTCATAACGTTTTTAAAAGTTTTTTTTTTCTTTTACATTTAAAAAAAGCCAAAATTGTCCTGTATCTACTCAAATCAAAGTGTTTATATTCCAAACTGACTGCAAATATTAGTTTGTTTATAAAAAATAAGCAATTAAAATGCAAAAATATCTATATTTATTCTCTGAATGAAAAATACAAAATGTCCATACCAGGGTTAACAGTGTACATAACTTGTAAACTAGCTGATGAACTACACTGGTGTAACCTGTACAATAAGTTAGCTGATTAGATACAATGGTGTAACCTGTACAATAAGTTAACTGATTAACTACACTGGTGTAATTTGTACATGAAGTTCACCATTTAACGCCCTTGTAAACTCTACATGTATAAAAATTGTCTCCTGACCATTAAGATCAATGATTTGCCACACTAATATAGACATGTTTTAAACTTTCAACACTGTACCTTGTACTAAACCAATAATTTGAAACTGTACATTTATCAAATTTTTATTAACCTGTACTTAAGTTCACTAATTACACTTTTGTAACCTGCACTTAAAGTTCATGCATTATCACACTATAGCAGTTAACATATATATCACACTGATGTAACATGTACTATACATCATACTGTTGCAGCCTGTACAGCCTTTTACCTCACTGTTGCATTGTTCCCTCAAATTCAAGTTAGTAATTTGACTTTGCCATAAGTATTTTATACAAAACATACAATTTTAGCTACATTTGACTAAGGTATATAAAATTAAAACTATATAAAAAGTGAAAGACATGGAGCTAATAATATATCAATATAAACATCAAAAACATAAACATCAACAACAAAGTGTATACGATAAAATACATTTACACATCAACATTTACAATAAAATATTTAACAAACATTATCATTACAAATAAATGTTTATTCTTCCGTGATAACAAATAATTTTCAAGACAATAAGAAGACCTCAAAATGATTTCAATTTTTAGTAACATATATTAAAATGGTGATGTTAAAGCTACAAAATAACTATGTAAAATTTGGAATGAATTTAATATTATCACAGTTACAAATAAAATGTCATGATTAACCTAAAGATATTTAACAAACATAGGTCATGATGGGTCTTTAAAGCTGATATTATAGTATAAACAATGTCATGGTGGCTTTTATGTAATAAATAATGTCATGGTGGGTCTTTTAGTCTTAAAATTTATCATAAAATATGTCATGATGGGTTTTAAAAGCTTCCATTATGTCATAAAATATGTCATGATGGGTCTTTGAAGCTAACATAGCAAGATAAACCATGTCATAATGGATATTTAAAGCTTTCATTATACAGTCGACATTGTATTAAGAGACCACTCAAGGGACTGCCAAAAAGTGGTCTCTTAATAAAGTGGTCTCTCAATAGAATTCTAGAAAATTCGAGACTTTTTTATATTACAAGTCATAGATATAATAACATCTTTTTATAAAAACAAAAACTGTACAATAGATCATTTTTCATGCAATGAGTTTTAAAATTCTTGATTTTTTTTCAGCAATTAGTTTTCACACTACCCCGATTTCAAAACATTAAAGTTTTAGAGATCTTAGATTATTTTTTTTGTCGAAGGGTCATATTTAATGGGGTACTACATGTACTTTAAAAAGCATCAGATGAGCACCTACACCATCAGCAATGAAAGTCTCGGTTCTGTAATGTTTAGTCCACTACGTTTCACGATTTTATTTCGACTACAAACGATGGCATTTGCTATTTACTCAGACTCAATTCCATGCACGATTTCCTCATTCAATTTATCCGGTATTAGTTTAAACAATATTTTTTATTGATAATCCACACATTTACATAATAAACAAGATATGTTTGTAAAACATGTATCAGCAGCCAATTATTCATGTGATAAGGTAATTATGCATGACTTCTGACCCAGTGATCAAACAATTAATAAGGGTTATCAAGTATCTACTGGTCATGACCTTGACCTTTGACCCCTTGACCCAAAACTCAATAGGGGTCATCTGCTGGTCAAGACCAATCATCATACAAAGTTTGAAGTTCCTAGGCCTAAGCATTTTTAGTTAATTGATCAGAAACCGTTTTTACTTACAAGGTCAATGTGACCTTGACCTTTGACCCCTTGACCCCAAAATCAATAGGGGTCATTTGCTGGTCATGACTCATCACCATGCCAAGTTTGAAGTTCCTAGGCCTAAGGGTTCTTTTATTATTGATCCGAAACCGTTTTAACATACAAGGTCAATGTGACCTTGACCTTTGACCCCAAAATCAATAGGGGTCATCTGCTGATCAGAACCAATCACTATGCCAAGTTTGAAGTTCCTAGGCCGAAGCGTTCTTTAGTTATTGATCAGAAACCGTTTTTACTTACAAGGTCAATGTGACCTTGACCTTTGACCCCTTGATCCCAAAATCGAAAGGGGTAATCTGCTGGTCATGAAAAATCACCATACCAAGTTTGAAGTTCCTAGGCCTAAGCGTTCTTAAGTTATTGATCAGAAACTGTTTTTACTTACAAGGTCGATGTGACCTTGACCTTTGACCCCTTGACCCAAAACTCAATAGGGGTCATCTGCTGGTCACCACCAATCATCATACAAAGTTTGAAGTTCCTAGGCCTAAGCGTTTTTAGTTAATTGATCGGAAATCGTTTTTACCTACAAGGTCAATGTTACATGACCTTTGACCCCTTGACCCTAAAAACAATAGGTCATCTGCTGGTCATGACCAATCACCATACCAAGTTTGAAGTTCCTAGGCCTAAGGGTTCTTAAGCTATTGATCGGAAAGCATTTTTACCTACAAGGTCGATGTGACCTTGCCCTTTGACCCCTTAACCCCAAAATCAGTAGGGGTCATCTGCTGGTCATGACCAATCACCATACCAAGTTTGAAGTTCCTAGGCCTAAGGGTTCTTTAGTTATTGATCGGAAACTGCTTTTACCTAAGAGGTCAATGTGACCTTGACCTTTGACCCCTTGACCCCAAAATCAGTAGGGGTCATCTACTGGTCATGACCAATCACCATACCAAGTTTGAAGTTCCTAGGCCTAAGGGTTCTTTCGTTATTGATCGGAAACTGTTTTTACCTAAGAGGTCAATGTGACCTTGACCTTTGACCCCAAAATCAATAGGGGTCATCTACTGATCATGACCAATCACCATATCAAGTTTGAAGTCCCTAGGCCTAAGGGTTCTTTCGTTATTGATCGGAAACCATTTTTACCTACAAGGTCAATGTGACCTTGACCTTTGACCCCTTAACCCCAAAATCAATAGGGGTCATCTACTGATCATGACCAATCACCATATCATATTTGAAGTCCCTAGGCCTAAGGATTCTTTCGTTATTGATCGGAAACCGTTTTTACCTACAAGGTCAATGTGACCTTGACCTTTGACCCCTTGACCCCAAAATCAATAGGGGTCATCTGCTGGTCATAACTAATCACCATACCAAGTTTGAAGTTCCTAGGCCTAAGGGTTCTTTTGTTATTGATCGGAAACCGTTTTTACCCAAGAGGTCAATGTGACCTTGACCTTTGACCCCAAAATCAATAGGGGTCATCTACTGATCATGACCAATCACCATACCAAGTTTGAAGTTCCTAGGCCTTAAGGTTCTTTACTTATTGATCGGAAACCGTTTTTGCTTACAAGGTCAATGTGACCTTGACCTTTGACCCTTTGACCCCAAAATCAATAGGGGTCATCTACTGATCATGACAAATCACCATACCAAGTTTGAAGTTCCTAGGCCTTAAGGTTCTTTAGTTATTGATCGGAAACCGTTTTTGCTTACAAGGTCAATGTGACCTTGACCTTTGACCCCTTGACCCCAAAATCAATAGGGGTCATCTACTTGTCATGACCAATCACCATACCAAGTTTGAAGTTCCTAGGCCTAAGGGTTCTTTAGTACTCACTCGGAAACCATTTGGTCTACGGACTCAAGTTTGAAGTCCCTAGGCCTAAGGGTTCTTTCGTTATTGATCGGAAACCATTTTTACCTACAAGGTCAATGTGACCTTGACCTTTGACCCCTTAACCCCAAAATCAATAGGGGTCATCTACTGATCATGACCAATCACCATATCAAGTTTGAAGTCCCTAGGCCTAAGGGTTCTTTCGTTATTGATCGGAAACCGTTTTTACCTACAAGGTCAATGTGACCTTGACCTTTGACCCCTTGACCCCAAAATCAATAGGGGTCATCTGCTGGTCATAACCAATCACCATACCAAGTTTGAAGTTCCTAGGCCTAAGGGTTCTTTTGTTATTCGGAAACCGTTTTTACCCAAGACGTCAATGTGACCTTGACCTTTGACCCCTTGACCCCAAAATCAATAGGGGTCATCTACTGATCATGACCAATCACCATACTAAGTTTGAAGTTCCTAGGCCTTAAGGTTCTTTACTTATTGATCGGAAACCGTTTTTCTTACAAGGTCAATGTGACCTTGACCTTTGACCCTTTGACCCCAAAATCAATAGGGGTCATCTACTGATCATGACAAATCACCATACCAAGTTTGAAGTTCCTAGGCCTTAAGGTTCTTAAGTTATTGATCGGAAACCGTTTTTGCTTACAAGGTCAATGTGACCTTGACCTTTGACCCCTTGACCCCAAAATCAATAGGGGTCATCTACTTGTCATGACCAATCACCATACCAAGTTTGAAGTTCCTAGGCCTAAGGGTTCTTTAGTTATCACTCGGAAACCATTTGGTCTACGGACCGACAAGTGCAAAGCAATATACCCCCTTTTCTTCGAAATGGGGGCATAATAACATAAAATAAAATTTACGGATTGAGTAGGAAGCTTGTAAAGCTTTTTTGAAAACTCTATCCGGTATTATTCGTTGTCTGTCATTTTTTTGCTCGTTCCGACGTCATTTTCAATTTTGATTTTTCGGAAGGAGGTCACTCTGAGCACATGACAAAACTGTGCCAATGCGGTGTTGTGATACGTTATTGCTTTGACAAAATATGTCACAATAAATATTACGATCGGAAAACTGTTTCTTTCTTTCCGATTTTGAAACGATTGCAATTGTTATTCAATTCGTTTTTAAACGACAATTATTTGTGACGGTCTAATTGACGGCCGTTTAATAGATACTTTAAGACCAATGAGCATGAAGAACATTTGTTTGTTAAAACCCGCTCGCTAATTACACAGGTGAGGAAGTCCGTAGGGATGATTTTTTGTCACGGCCGTTTAATAGATACTTTTAACACTGAATTTTGTACATTTGGGCCGACATTTAGTGGCCGCTGGCCACGATATAAAATCGTCGTTTAATGGAATTAACTTATATAGTAAAAATCATCGGGAGGGATTTTATGCGGCCGCTTAATAAAAAGGTCGCTCAATAAAGGTGGACGCAAGTACGATGCCGACTGTACTATTAACAATGTCATGAGTGGTTCTTTTAATTTTACATTATATCTTGTACAATGACATAATGGGTCTTAAGGGCTTATATTATATCATAAACAATGACATAATGGGTCTTTAAAGTTTTGATTTGAACATAAACAATCATGATGTGTCTATAAAGCTTACATTTTTACATGAACAATGTCAGAATGGGTCTTTTAATTTTACATTATAACATAACAAATACATTGTCATTATAAGCTTATCTCTTAATTAATGAGTCTTATCAAACAAACACAATAGAATAGAAAACTTTATCACAGATTATAACACCAGTCTAACAGACTAATTCCTTTTTCAGGATCAAAATATGGAATGGATCAAACACAGAAATTTTTGAATAACTAATCACATGAATTACTCGACAATTAATATTCAATAAAAATATGGGATGGTTAATAAAACTTAAAACTGACATACAGTTTGCACTAACAAAATAATCTTTCAGCTGTATATGCTATTGCATTCTTGTTTGAAGAATTTCCTACCTAGCTATAATAGCAGTGGCCCTATTTTTTAATTAAAAGATGTTAATTCTTACAAGCAATGATCTTCACAGAAGATAAAACACATAGAGATTGTAATTTGAATGTAGCAACAACACTAACAAATAATTTTCTACACAGCAGTGACATTCAAAGAAGTATGACATTAACATATACATATATGGTAATAGAATGTCTATATAAACTATATGATATAAACAGATACTAGTCTTTACAGAAGTGACATTTCAAGATGGTAATTTTAATGTAGAAATGACATTTACAGATATTTATCTTTACAGCAATGATATTTAAAGAAGTAGTGACATTAACACAATACATATCATATAGTAATTGAATGTCATAAAGGCATAAACAGATATTTGTCTTCACAGCAGTGATATTTAAAGAAGTAATGACATTAACATATACATAGCATATGGTAACTGAATGTCACAATGACATAACCACATACTTGTCTTTACAATAGTGACATTTAGAGATGGTAATTTTAATATAGAAATGACATTTACAGGTCCTTATCTTTACAGCAGTGACATTTATTTATAGTAATTTCAAAGAAATGACATTTACAGGTACTTATCTTTACAGCAGTGACATTTATTTATAGTAATTTCAAAGAAATGACATTTACAGGTACTTATCTTTACAGCAGTGACATTTATTTATAGTAATTCAACAAAGAAATGACATTTACAGGTACTTATTTCTACAGCAATGACATTTATTTACAGTTATTCAACAGAGAAATGACATTTACATGTCCTTATCTTCACTGCAGTGACATTTATAGATGGAAGTTACACACAACAATATCATTTACAGTAAATTATCATTAAAGAAGTGTCATTTAAAAATATTTAACAACATACAGCCTGAGGAAATATTACTTCTGAAAAGCAGCAACATTCAAAGCATGGGTTGTGTCAACTAAAATAAAAAGTATCATAAAAGAGTAATGGTAGACAAAGTAAAGAAATCAAACAGTAATCATAGATTAATGATAGACAAAGTAATATATTCTAGTAGTGATGCCATTTATAGCATATCATCACCATTGATTGTAAGTAATCTTTGAACACTCAGCATCAATCAAACTAAATGCATTTGAAATTTGAAGTTAACCTTCTTCTGAAAAAAAAATACAAGACATCTGTTCACAATACATTCTTTGTCACATCTGAAGTTAATACTCCTTGCAAATGTGACATTAGAAATAGATATTCTTTATACAAGAGTCATTTGAAATAGATATTTCTTTTTATTACATGTTTTATTACATGTTTTGCAATGAAATCATGAAATAAACAGAAAATTTGTTTGTTTTACATGTAAGATCAAATAATATTTCACTCGTGAACCCCAGCTATTATATTTTCACTCGTGGCTACGCCACTCGTGGAAAATATTGCATCTGGTGTTCACTCGGTGAAATATTTTTCGATCTTACACTGAAACAAACAAATATCCTCTATATAATAGTGACATTTGAAAAATATTTTTTTATTTATTTAATAGTGTCATTTGAAGAAACTATGAACTGTTTTTCATACCTACCAATAACAGCAGTTTTAACTTAAGGATGTTTATAAAGAAAGGCAATGGTCTTCACAGAAGACAATATATTTTTATATGATAATGTCATTTGAAGTAGATGTTTTTTTTACAATAATGTCATTTGAAGTAGATGTTGTTGTTTTTTTTTTTCAATAATGTCATTTGAAGTAGATGGTTTTTTTATTACAATAATGTCATTTGAAGTAGATGTTTTTTACAATAATGTCATTTGAAGAAAATATTCTTTACAATGTTGTCATTTAAAGTAGATATTCTTTATAATAGTGTCATTTAATGTAAATATTCTTTATAATGGTGTCATTTAAAGTAGATATTCTTTATAATAGTGCCATTTAAAGTAAATATTCTTTATAATAGTGTCATTTGAAGTAGATACTCTTTATATTGGTGTCATTTGAAGTAGATATTCTTTAAAATAATGTAATTGGAAGTAGATATTCTTTATAATGGTGTCATTTAAAGTAGATGTATTCTTTATAATGGTGTCATTTAAAGTAGATATTCTTTATAATGTTGTCATTTAAAGTAGATATTCTTTATAATAGTGTCATTTAAAGTAAATATTCTTTATACTAGTGTCATTTGAAGTAGATATTCTTTATATTTGTGTCATTTAAAGTAGATATTCTTTAAAATAATTTAATTGGAAGTAGATATTCTTTATAATGGTTTCATTTAAAGTAGATATTCTTTATAATGGTGTCATCTGAAGTAGATATTCTTTAAAATAATGTAATTTGAAGAAGATATTCTTTATTATGGTGTCATTGAAAGTAGATATTCTTTATTAAGATGTCATTGAAAAGATATTATTTATAACAGTGTCATTTGAATTAGATGTATTTTATAATAGTGTCATTTAAAGAAGATATTTTTTTACAGTATTTTCATTTGAAGTTGATATTTTTATAAAAGTGTCATTTAAAGAAGATATGTTTTACAATAGTGACATTTGAAGTAGATATTCTTTATAATCGAGTCATTTGAAGTAGATATTCTTTATTAAAGTGTCATTTGAAGTAGATATCCTTTATAGAAGTGTCATTTGAAGTAAATATTCTTTTAAATAGTGTAATGTGAAGAAAGTATTATCTATAACAGTGTCATTTGAATTCAATATTCATACAATAGTGTCATGTGAAGAAGGTGCTCTTGCAATAGTGTCATTTGAAGTAAATATTCTTTATAATAGTGTTATTCCAAGAAGATATTCTTTATAACAGCATCACTTGAAATAAATATTCTTTTAAATGTGATATTTTAAGTAGAAATTCTTTACAGTAGTAACTGATGAAGTAGAATTTCTTTATTATGGAGACATTTGAAATAGAAACTATTCTATATGATCAACATGCAATAAAACATGTGAAAAAATATGAATGACCTTGTACATGTAAATGCAATATCATTTCAATGATTAAATCATTATCACTATGTGGAAGTATATAATAATTTAATAATAATTTAATAAATAAATAAATAATTTAACTATGTTCAATATCCTTTTAAATTATGATTTCTTGCGTAGAAGTACAGAGAGTAGTCCCTCCAAAAAAATAAAAGATACATAGTCAGTCTTGACATTGTATGAACTGTAAAAACATTTGAGATGGTGAAACTGTGTAAATATGCATTTTCTTACAAAAAATTTATGTTCAGAGCCTAAATCTTACTTCATCTTAAACACATGATGAATTCACAGGTTTTCGCTGAATACACCCTAAATCTTTCACAATGGTTTCTTTCAGACTAGATCAAGCTACTTTGCATTCCATAACTAAATATCTTTGATATCAAACAATTACACAAAATCTAGATCCCTTTTCACAGTTGTCAGCTGGAACAGTGACTCTTGTAATAGTTGTTACATGCTGACTGGGCGTGTACGATACCTGAAGGGGTGTGGTCATGTGAGGTCTAGGGGTGGGGTTAGCTAACTGCCACCTGGTGGTGCCAAGTGGAGACATGTCCTCCTGATCTTTTCTCATGGGCCTGAAACAATAAAATACTTCTTAAATGCAGAATTTTCAGCTGAACAGAGGAGAGGCGTAAGTTGTTTGAAATCAATCACTCTAACTACTCACTCATGGAGGCTTCAATACTCTTAAAGCAGGTTCCTTCTAATTTTCATGAATTTTTTAAAAATGTATTAAAAATAAAAAGTAAAATATTGTAAAATGAAAAAAGAAAATAATTTTATACATTGCAAATGGCACTTTCTGGTACAACCCATGTAGATTACCAACAAGATGTCTAATTATGGCGAAAAATACTGCACAATCAACCATTTTTCACAAATAACATGGAAATTATCACTTTTATCTTCATTTTTTTTACTTTTCTTAAAATCTCATTACATTTTTCTCAAGTTTGATTATCTTCAAATATTTTGGCTCATCTGGAGGCATGCAGCTTTAAATTTTATATGTTTAGAACTTCTGACTTGTCAGCTTTACTAATAAATGAACATCCCAGATATTTATGAATGCAATAAGAAGTAAAACAGGTGTCAGTATAATCATTGGCCTAACAGTATACATTTCTCATATTATAATATGAACAATAAAATAATTCTAGAGAAATTAGAATAAGTAAAAGCACATACAAGTGACTTCAAGTAAGCTGCCATATAACTAACATCATTTTCATTATTAATACATTGGCAACCCATATCATCAGTTGAATTGCTGTTAAAATCAGTTGTATTTTCATCCTGTATTATAAAATACCCCCCTTGACCTTTGGCCTAATCGGCTATTTTGGTTGGCACATCTGTTGCCTCAGATAATAATGAAAACCCTGAACTATTAGTACTGAGACCTAATTGGAGGTTATATTATAAACTTACTCTTTATTGGTACATCCTGGTGGTGACAGAATCTGATTACTTATTTTACTACAATGTGACGTTTCGTCCATCATGACGACACTGTCTCCTTGACCATAGAAAATTTTTCCTCACTACACTTTTTATGCAGTCTACCACGGGGATTTTTTTACTCGAAAATACGATTTTGGATTTGAATAAATTTGAAATGAAAACACCATTTTGTTCAGGGGTGTCAGTGGCTAAGTGGTAATAGTTGTCAACTTTAAATCACTTGTCACAAGCCACTGTAGGTTCGAATACCGCCAGGGAATTTGGATTCTTTAACGCAAGGAGGCTATCAAGTCAGGTAATTAAACGTATGTGGTTATATTCAGGTTCCTGCTTGTGCCTGGAATAATGCATGGACGGGCACCCCAGGTCTTCCTCCGCCAGTAAGGCTGGAATGTTATCATTTGACATTTAAACAGTATAGTCAATCTCTTGAAATATATTATTAATTCAACTAAACTTGATGGCAAAAAAATCAGAAAAATGTCAATTTTAAGATATCTACACATTTAGAATTATCAATAATGTCAGATAGTTTGAAAGCTATGACAGTACATTGTACTTACTTTTGCCTTACTGCATTTTATCAAATGTATAGCACTACAATTGTTTCCTAAGATGTCATTTTCTATGATGTCAACCTCACTGCGGCACCATATCCCATGATCCTTGTTGTCGTAGATACCATTTCCATTAATATCAACCTAGATAAACAAATAGCACAAATGCCATAAAGAAACAGGTAAGGTCCAAATAAATAAAAATCTATTTCTGGTCTCAGAACACAGCCGCCCCCCCCCCCACCAAAAAATAGAGGGCACGTATGTATTTCTTTTTTTTTCCCTTAATATAACAATTTCTTTATATAATTTCACATATATATTGTAAAGAAAGGATTTTGAAAAATCAGAAATGCAGATAAAAAGTTGAGGGTTCGCAGCTTAAGAGAAAGGTATGGAGATCTGAGACAGAAGTAACACAACTTTTGGCCTTAAAATGAACTGATTAATAGCAATTCAACCAAATTAAATGAAACTGTAAACACCAAAGAAAGACAACCTTGTACAGGCCATGTTATCAAAGAAGAATTTTAATACAAAATTCATACCTTTCCAGGTCCGCCAACAATGATGCCTGAGCCAGAATTACAAATCATAGTGTTACACCTGACTGTAGCAGGGGATGCTTGTTCAATAAACAGACCATCAGACTTGTTACCTTGTACAACATTGTTCTCAATCTTCACAGCTTCACCAAATTGCACTGATATACCCTTACCTAGAAATAATGATATAGATACACCCTAATAATTAAGATATATCCCTACCTAGCCATGATAAAATTAGATTTTCCCTTTACTTCTAATAGTAAAAGAAAAGACTCATTTCCATATACACATGTATATATTTTTTGTATACATAGATATAAAGTTTCAGCTTATGATTTATGAAACATCTAAAATGTAGGTCAATCTGCCATGTTTGTAAATGATGCTATGTATGCAAAAAAAGCACATGTTCCAATAACAAGTGTTCACAAGACTGCAAAAAAATAGCAGGGACTACTATATATCACATTAATGTGGCTGCTTTGAGAATTTACCTTCATTATGGAAGACTTTGTTGTATTCTATGGTTGCCATGGTAACTGACCTCTGTTGTAGAGAAACCTGCTCCTCTGAGGCAACCGCTAGAAAATCTAGACTGTGATGACTTGGTGTGTCTTTTGAATCCACCATCATTGTCTCATTCTTGTGACTAGAATCCTGAACAAATTATTTCGAAACAATTTTAGTAAGGTTGTAACCAAAATCCTGTTGAAACTCAGTGGGTATTTTGGTTGGGTTTAACTTTTTACAAACACAGTGGCAACATGGCCGAATGGTTAAAGCATCAGACTAGTATTCAAATGATTGCTAGCCATATGGGTTCAAACCCCATCAGGGGCAAGTTGTTGTTTCCTTGAGCAAGAAACTTTGCACTCATTGCTCAGTACTGGTTGGTTCCACAAATGGATTCGAAAGTGTTCTATAAGCTTAAAGCTTCCTACACAATCGAACTAAAATAAATTCTGTATAAACCAAACACAGTTTAGGTCATATGGTGACTTTCCAGCTTTTAAGCACATATTCTAAGATCATTATACTTTATATCTTCAGAAGACACCAACATAAAAGTGTGGTGGCATGGCCGAGTGGTTAACATGTTTGATTTAGTTATCTAAGGATCTCTATCTGCATTTGTTCTAATCCTGTCAGGGGCAAGCCGTTGTTACCTTGGGCAAGAAACTTTACACTCAGTCACTCAGTACTGGTTGGTTCTAGGAACAGATTTTGAAAGTGTGTCTATAAGCTTAGAGCTTCCTACACAATCAAACTGAAATTCTGTATAAACTAAAAACGGGGAGGAAAAACACTCATTATAAAAGAATGGAACAGACTTGTTTTGATGGAGACCAAAATAATACTAAACAAAACCGGGATGAAAAGTAAAGGAAACTTTCAAATATGAGACAATTGATCTCGACCATTGAGTCTAATGGTCATTTGTATCACACCTTTTATTAAATCATGTTGCATTAGTAGTTAGTCACTTGCATAGCAATTGGTAATTACTTGTTACTTTTCAAGTAAGGCCAGTAAGGTGGACTCACTGCAAGATATGACCAAAAATGTGTAAAAAAATGGCGTAAAAACCAAACAACAAATAGAAGTCACAATAAACTTACCATTCTATTGACCAAACAAATACCCGTATCTCTATTACTGTGAATCTCATTGCTATGTATAAGGGGGTGATGTGCCGCCATTACCCAAACCCCGCAGCCCGCGTTCCCTGAAATAATTTTAACTTTTTGCTTTATTATCATTATCAATTCACTATTATGTCCGTAAACAGGCTTTAATCAAAACACTTAATGTCTCAAAATCTTAAGGATCAAAGATTGAATCTGGAAATTATATCTTGATATTATCACAGTGAAAATGAGCTTATTTCTTGTAGGGAAGAAACTAAGTGACCTTGTAGGTCATTTGGTAGAGCTAAGAAATGGTATATGTTATAGGTCAATGGTTAGAGTTCCAGTAAGACAGCACATTTTCTCATCCTATAACAACATTTATTCAATTAATATTTAATTTTAATTTTCCGCAGCTTAAAAGGTATAGTGATCATGGAATTTATTTTACTTTGAATTACATGAAAACATGACGTCAAATTCCAAACAGGTACACTGTTCTAACCAAAAAAGGACCTTTAGTCACCTTTCACTTGCATTTAGTCAACAACTTATACTAGGTCATTTAAAGGTTTGAGTTTATAAAAATCCTATTAAAGAAGTAAAGCCAGGTACCTGTTATGATATTGTGCTCTATGGTTCCCCTCCCACCTTCTCCAATCACAATACCATCTGATATACCATTACATACAGTATTTTGATAAATCACTGGTTCCCCTCCATGCCGAATATCAATACCACCCCACTGGTTCCCGGTAATAACATTACCTAAAACACATAATATATCAAGTTATTTATCACTTATCAAAGGTCAGTGCCATCTATATATGCCTGAGAAAAAAATATACTAGTAATTAAATGCAGGTAGAATTTCTTCTAAAAACCTTTACAACTGGACAGTTACTATTTACATTTTTTTAACAACACCAGAACAAAACTAGGTCATAGTAAGTAAAAGTTTATTGCAATGATATGTACTTACCATGTATATATCCTCTACCGGACTCGTTGACCGCTATACCTGCAGCCCTTCCACTGTATATCTGGTTGTTACTAAAATATTATCATATTCTTATTCTAACTTATTATACAGTAAAAAGTCTGAAAACCTGATCTTTATAAAAAATTCTATGGGTTATGCAAGTTTTTGACAGAAAACAATTATGACAAAATGTTATTTTGACTAACCTGTACACTCTCCATCTTTAACAAAGAAACCCAAATTCTATAGATTATTGGAAATGGATTATAAAAGATTTGATTTGACATTGATGATGTTATACATGTATAATATATAAGTAAAGCATCACTTACCACACTGTAGGATTGCCTCTGTACAAGATATACACGCCTGCTTCTTTGTTCTGATAAATATCATTATGTTTAATCTGACCACGCCCACTTCCAAGAACCACAACTCCTGATCTCTTTCCATGATGTATTCTGTTACACTGTAAATTAAAACCCGTTTAAAATATGTATTATAAAACAACATGTTAATGTCATTTTCCAAACATTATATTCAGGACAAACAGAGCAAGCAAATGATTTGAAATTTTGCACACAAGTTTTTGGTATAAATTTACATCAAATGGTATAAAAATCTCGAAAAAGTATTTCCAGTCCTTTAAAAATATTTCTAACAAAACAACACAGTGCATCATTTTCATTTGGGAAGGTTAATGATCTACAGTAAATGACCCGATTTTAATTTCTCCCCAAAACAACAGCCTGTTACTTAATATAGAATAGCTGTAGAACATACATGTTTTTTGTAACACTGGCCCTAACAAGTTCACAACCGCAAAGAATAGCAGCATTTTCAAACAAATAGCAAAAACACTCAATGTGCAGGGACAATCAAATTAACCCTACCCCCACCCCACAGTCATGCTGACACAGTCATCCAAAGTTCTATATTTTGTAAAGTTCTCAATTTTAACACTGAAATCCCTCTAAGTCACAATGGACAGTTCAAAATTCAAAGCAGGCCATTCATTATACAAATTCAGTAGGGTAAAGACTAATATATTTACCTGTACAATAGGATCAGCATTTTTACGTATATCTATACCGGCCTCACAGTTAGAATGGATGTCATTACCTGAAACATAAAATAATCTCTTCACCTGCCGGAATAATATATTTATATTCTAACAATAGCTGCCAGTAGGATTGTGTGCATAATCGACTGTTCTCGGTGCTTGAATTTAAAATAAAGAACCTGGATAATGTAGGATGAATAAACATGTATACATTTAGGACAAGGTTTAATTTTGTAAGAAAAGCATACCTGTAACAAGACCTGATGCAGCGAGTCTCATAAAAACACCTGACGTCCTACAATGATGAATCTCATTCTTCAGTACCACTGTCTGTAATATATATAATATAATATTATCATCTTTAATACGTTTTCATTCCTAGGATTGAAAATTCAATACAGTAGAAGTGTAGCCTTTGCATAGAATTCAGTAGCTACTAAATGTGCGAGACAAGATCTCTGCTTTAAGAAACAAGATATGTTTGTAAAACATGTATGCCCCCTATCAGCAGCCAATTAGTCATGCGCTAAGGTTATTATGCATGACTTCTGACCCAGTGATCAAACAATTAATAAGGGTTATCAAGTATCTACTGGTCATGACCTTAACCTTTGACCCCTTGACCCAAAACTCAATAGGGGTCATCTGCTGGTCACGACCAATCATCATACAAAGTTTGAAGTTCCTAGACCGAAGCGTTCTTAAGTTATTGATTTGAAAGCATTTTTACCTACAAGGTCAATGTGACCTTGCCCTTTGACCCCTTAACCCCAATATCAATAGGGGTCATCTGCTGGTCATGACCAATCACCATACCAAGTTTGAAGTTCCTAGGCCTAAGGGTTATTTAGTTATTGATCGGAAACCGTTTTTACCTAAGAGGTCAATGTGACCTTGACCTTTGACCCCTTGACCCCAAAATCAATAGGAGTCATCTACTGATCATGACCAATCACCATATCAAGTTTGAAGTCCCTAGGCCTAAGGGTTCTTTCATTATTGATCGGAAACCGTTTTTACCTACAAGGTCAATGTGACCTTGACCTTTGACCCCTTAACCCCAAAATCAATAGGGGTCATCTGCTGGTCATGACCAATCACCATACCAAGTTTGAAGTTCCTAGGCCTAAGGGTTCTTTTTTTATTGATCAGAAACTGTTTTTACCCAAGAGGTCAATGTGACCTTGACCTTTGACCCCTTGACCCCAAAATCAATAGGGGTCATCTACTGATCATGACCAATCACCATACCAAGTTTGAAGTTCCTAGGCCTTAAAGTTCTTTAGTTATTGATCGGAAACCGTTTTTGCTTACAACGTCAATGTGACCTTGACCTTTGACCCCTTGACCCCAAAATCAATAGGGATCATCTTCTGATCATGACCAATCACCATACCAAGTTTGAAGTTCCTAGGCCTTAAGGTTCTTTAGTTATTGATCGGAAACCATTTTTGCTTACAAGGTCAATGTGACCTTGACCTTTGACCCCTTGACCCCAAAATCAATAGGGGTCATCTACTGGTCATGACCAATCACCATACCAAGTTTGAAGTTCCTAGGCCTTAAGGTTCTTTAGTTATTAACGGAAACCGTTTTTGCTTACAAGGTCAATGTGACCTTGACCTTTGACCCCTTGACCCCAAAATCAATAGGGGTCATCAACTGGTCATGACCAATCACCATACCAAGTTTGAAGTTCCTAGGCCTAAGGGTTCTTTAGTTATCACTCGGAAACCATTTGGTGTACGGACCGACGGACCGACAAGTGCAAAGCAATATACCCCCTTTTCTTCGAAATGGGGGCATAATAATTTTAAAAATACCATAGCCTGAAAAGCCTTAAAACCTGTATTCTGATATTCTTTATTTACCCATCTACAACTAAAATAATATTCTTTGAGCTCTAAATACAACATACGCAATAATTGACATTGTTTCAATTTTTATCTAAAACTTTAATTATAAGATAACTTCCTAGAGTTTTGGATAAATATGCCATACACACTGTTTATATCTATAATTTTCAATAAAAACATACCAGGGGTTTGCATAAAACATATGCCTCCCCAACATGTTTTTTTCATTAATCAAAATTTTAATGACAATCCCTTTTGAGTTTAAATACAAGTATGCCAGAAAACCTGTTTTTTACTCCCCATAACAATAGCTTGCCTGTAGACTGACCATAACAGCTCCTTTGCTTTGTGTTATACGACATTTATGTACAAGACAGCCTCTAACTTCATTCAATACTTTTACCATATCATTGTCCTGGAAATAGAAGAATGTTTCAAAACATTTTCTAATTATATCTTAAAAACACTGTCACCATATTCCTGAAAAAGTTTATCTAGTAACTTCAAAACAAGTAATGTTAAGTTTTGGTTATTGTTTTCTTCATGCCAAAAATTACGTAAACAAATTAAAGAATGGAATGTTGGTGGTTGACTTCAAGAGACACAGTGAAACCTCTAACAAAAATTTTCAGCCCTCTTTAAGAAATGCCCTTTTTAAAAACCGGGTATAAATTTTTCCAAAAAAACCAAAACCCCCTTCCAAAAACCCAACATTTTTTGTCTCCCAAAAGGGTGTGCCTGTAAAGTTTCTGAATCAATTTTTTTTTTCTTCGACATTTTTATTTGACCAATAAATAAAGCAAAAATACCTGTATAATATCAATATGTTCCGACTGGTTCTGGCTATTTATAGAAGCAACATCAGTACACTCTTTCTGAGCAGACAACGAGCGTGGCTGGTGACGTTCGGGGTACGTTAACATAATCACCGACTCTTCACTAGAGGAGAACTCACTGTCGTTGTCACTCAACAATAAACTTTCATCATCAGATGATGATGTAGTACTGGCTCCATCTTAAATATAAAACATTCAAAAACTAAATCCCACATCTTTATCCAATTATTTTATTCAACCAAACAACTATATTCAATCCTTGTATTTTATTCAAGTTAACTTTATTTCATCAGTTTCTTTAATTAATTTGACCCATCAGCTTACAGCTTTATCAAAATGCAACAACTTTATTCAAGCCAAAAACTTTTTTTAGCAAGTCTTTTTAATTAATTCAACCCAAATGCTTGCAGCTTTATTTGATTTAGTTGATCTATTGATTCAAAATACCAACATTGAACAAGTATTTTCAATTTAACCAAACATATTTGTTCAACTAACCCTTTAATTCAACAAAACTCAATTATAATTAATCGAATACAACTATAAATAAATGAGCTGAAGAACAAGTTGAACCATCATTACCATGAATTTATGTTACAACCCTGATCCATTTTGAAATTTGAAAAAAATGAGCAGTTTAAAAATCAAAATATATCAAACAGTATTTTGGTCTTGTCACACTTCTTGTGAATTTTTTAATGGTGGTTTAATTACTATGTCTTAAAATAAATACACTTTTCTCCTGCCCAAAGTAGTGTGGATAAAAATTCAACAAATTTTCTAATTGATATGCATTAATAATCTATAAATTTTCATCACTTCATAAATTTGAGAGCATATACATGTACAACAATAAAAACCAAACAACAGAAAGTATTTTAACCAACCAGAAGAATTAAAACCTCCACCATCCTCCTCTGACACATCATTACTGCTTGCTGTGTGCAAAGAAACCTCTGAGCTTGATAAACTACGCTCCCGGTGAGCACCTACACCTTGTGACCCATCACCATGACGATCTGTAGTGTGTCTAGAGGTCAATGAGTGCAAATCAAGTGCAGGAATCTTAACCTTGTTATTTTCATCATCAGGATCACTATCGGAATCAGAATTGTCTCTTAAAGTTTTATTTTGGTGCTCAGTGCTTAAAAACTGTTTCAAAATACTATTGTCCTCTGCAACATTGGACCTTTCACCTATGTGTGACCTTGAAATGTCATGATCATCCTCTTCACCTATAGTGCTCTCCCCTGATGTTCCAGGGTTACTATATTTAGCACAATCTGAGACAAAGTTTTCAATGCGCTTAAATTTTTCTCTATGGTGCTCTAAATAATTGGCATTTTTATCATTGTTCGCATCGTGTTTTGATGCTGGAAATGTGTTTTTTGTGTAAGTTGTGCTATGGGGTGCATGTGCTCCAGTACCTGATTGAATAAGCTCATCAATGTCACCTTCATTATCAGATACCCTGTGATATTCTCTAGAATTATGGGTAATATTGGAATGGTAAGACCCTGATGGAATGTTATTACCCTGATGCCTTCTGAACACTTGAATATCAGCGCCACCTACCGCCCCTTCAAGGGCCGTTCCTCCTGACCGAACTGACATGTTACAAGAATGACCTTCAATATCATGGGAACCGATATCCTGAGAGAATCTTCGTCTTATAGCTTCGGTATCACTAGACATTTGCCTATTGATGCCGTTGAATTTTGGACCCGGCTTTTTGTGTATAGTTGCTGTAGATAAAGAATAGGCTGACTTGGGAATCAAAACATCGGCACTTTTTCGTCTCTCAGGTTTTTTCTGTAATGTGCATGTTGACATAATTTTGTTATTTAACAACCTGAATGTCCAGTTTTTATCTTCCTTGGGATAACCCTCGACAGTGATAGCCGCTGAATCTGTCTGAGAGAACTCACAGTTTTGAATAATACTTGCGTTAACATGCTGCAGTATAACAGTGGCATGTCTAAATGTACAGAAAGATATAGCGACAGAACCTGGGTTTTGAACATATACCATGCCATCCTCCATTATACAGTTGTCCACCTGCAAATAACCTGACCTGACCTGAAAAATAAAATGAGAAAACAAATCTGGCAATGAACAACAATAACAACTATTGACACTGTACGAAACATAAATTTCTACAATTTTAATGTATAATGGCATAAATCAGTTTTTATTTTTGAAATGTCTTAATTTTGTCAAAATACCAATTAACACTGCAGAGAAAAATCAGCCGGCATTAGGAGTACATTGCATGAGTAAAATAAATTTTGCTTAATTATCTTTAAATTTCTTTTATTTAAGATGAGGCAAAATTCTTTTTCCTTTTTTTTGCTTACCTTTAGAATAAAATTAGTGAACCAAGGTGCTCTAAATACCAGGTTACTAATTCTCCCAGTAATTGCAGTCTGTTCAATACACACAACTAGAATCACACTTCCTAGTTCTCCACGACCTACCAACTCAAACGGTATCTTTGAGGACATCTCAAACTGTTCATCATAAATGCCTGGATATACTTCTATTCTATCAAAATCATTGGCCACTGCTAAAGCACCTTTCAGAGTCTCGTATTCTTTACCCACGCCTACAGTGATGGTTTTACGAAGTTTTGTACGTTTGAAAACAGACATGCATGTTACTGATGCTGAACCACGGTCAATTTGTGTCCAGAACATGGAGGATATATACTGTTCTTTATATGCCTGTCTCCAGGAGTGTGGATTAGAACTGAGGTTAAGAGGCCAGTATGGGTGCCGCCAACTTGTGCTTCTCATGTACAAATCTTTCCATTTGGTACTGTCAAGACTCAATACCACATCATGCCATGTCTTGCATACTATTGCACTCCTGGAATAAAAAATACACAAAAACAATTGAAAACCACAATTCCAAACAATAGCAATGGCATTAAGAATAAATGAAAACACAAACAATATGAATTTACTTAACAAATAAATAAATTTGTATTTTTATAACAAGTAGATACTGCATTTCTATAACACTTATTGCATCAATATATTAACATAATAAATATAATAAAATTACCTGCATAATTCTTCAGCTGAAAGATATGAAAGAATAATTGCCCAAATTTCATATGGAAGGCCTCGTTTGTCTCCAGGTAGAACCTTACTACCAGTGTCTGTCTTAATAGTAACAGCACTTGATATTGTTTCTCTGTCTAAACGGTCCAATCGCTCCATCTTTGAGATTCCCCACTTTAATTACAAACTTATGAATCTATGCATCTTGATAATGACTTTGAACCTGAATAAAAAAAAATAAACACAACACTGAGCACATCAAAAATAGATACCAAATTAATGTTGATAAAATTTGAAAACTTTGATTACAAGAGCTGTTGTAAGGACAGTGTGATTGACTATTCTCAGTGCTTGATAGTAAAATAAGAGCCTGCATGGATAAAGTTGAATTTTCTAAGTTTAAAAAACGCCATAATTCTGTCAAAGTTCATGTTTTGACCTCATAATATGCTCTCAAATAAGTCTGTGAAGTTTCAACCCATTCCCTTTAGATCTTGTAATACTAAAAAAATAAAAAATTGGAGGAGAAATGTCTGCACATTTCAAATTTTGGGGGAGTACTGTCAGGGGAGGAAACAGTTTTGCGGGTGAACGGGCAAGGGAACAAACAGCTTTTTTTTTAAAAAGTTTTAAGGCTTTGTAAAGTCAATCAGTCAAAGAATAGAATTTAGCTATGTTAAGTATGGACAATTAACCATGTTGTTTGGTAAAAAATTTGCCAAATCCTGCAGACTTATCACATGTATTTTCCAGCGTTTAAGCGTACCGAATAAGAGGGAAAATAATTACCTCTGATTAGTTAAGAACTGGTCATTTTTGAACATAACAAGTAAATATTGAGATAAGTCATTCAGCGTTGGGTAGTCACACTAGCAACACTTTGTCGGATGTTCATCTTATTTATTTCTATTTGTTATGACTAATGATACAGACAATTCGACATTTTCAGAAATTCTTGACCAACTGAAAGAAAAAGACGAGATTTGAACTCTTTGAGAGGGGACGTTCGAGGAAATAATTTGAATGTGGCTAATGAAGTTAAAAAATTGAAAGAAAGGGAACTGCCATGAAAGAACAAGGACAACAAAATTCAGTTTACTGGAATAATAGTGAAATTGCCAATATATGTTCCCAAATTTCCTAGGCTATTTCAAACGATAAGTTTGATTACGACAATGAACTTTTGAAAGAAGTTGACAAAAAGATAAAGGAAAGCAATAAATTGGTAAGGATAGCAGACACGTCAGAATGGGGTTGGCAGACTGTCCAGCAGTATGAGAGTAATCCTATCGCTTCTGACAGTGAAGACAAATAAAAAATTAGCAAGGCTGAGAACAGAGCTTTACATAAAAGGAGATGTTACACAGACAAGTAAAAAAATTCAAATTATGTTCCTACTGGTTTTGGAACAATTCTCAATCAAGTACACCAAGTTTGGCCGAAACATTGTCACCATGGGGTGGACCGGGAACATCTGGAGCTTACGAGAAACAGAAATTTCGTTCCTTTTCAGCATTTCAGAGAAGAGGTACCTGAAGTTATTTGCCTGTGGTGAGTTTACACACTGGAGGAGAGACTGTCTGCATGCCCATTTCGGAAAACAGCAACAGTTCGATGTCACACCTAGTATAAAATGAACCTGTCCATATGCAACAAGATGATAATATTTTTAATTTGTGTAATGAAAATGACATAAATCAACAGGGCTGTCAGTAGGGTCAGTATGAACATACCCATTCGCTTCAAACATATTAAACTGATATACATAAGTGGTATGTTATACAGTTATTGGTACTTTAACAGTTCTGAGACATTATTTAACGGTAATTTCTACCATGTTCAAGGACTAAATGGAGTTAAAAATTGCCTGCTGGTGGATTCAATTTATGCTGCCCATTTGTTAATTACAGTTTTTAATGCCTTCGCTCAGGAATCCAAAGGGGGGGAACAATTAGTCTTTTAATTGCAGAGCTCCAGATAATTTTTTTGGCCAAGGGGTTTTTACCCCTCAAAATTTAGAGTGAGGGGTAAAATGCAAATTCTGAAAAACTTAAGGGGTAAAATCTGTCAAAAAAGCATTTTGCATTTTTTTAAAAACAAATTAAAACTTATTGTTTTGTTTGTTTGTTTATTTTCTTTTTTTAGAAAAACCTTTACAAATTAAATACTGATTTATGTGAAACAATACAAAACATGCCATGTAAAGTCAGACTTCCAGAGTATACTGGAACTCAAGTTTAGGATACACAGCAAAATTATCAGGGCTTCCATTTTCAAAAATGGGTTTAAACATACACAGCCAGCATAGATTGAAGGAAGTGTCATCTCAAGGCGACGAGAAAAAATAGCGTTTAGTTGCAGTTAAATAACATCAATTGAAATAGTTTACAAAATTTTGATAATAATCCTTTTTTGTTTCATTAAGTTCAATTTTTAAATTGAAAAAAAAAAAAAAACACCGAAAATAATTGCTGTTGGGCTCTGATAATTGCGTCAATTACCGACGGTATAGAAGTTTGTCCATCGTCCATCATTAAGGAAAGTTTGCATTACTAAACTATTTCTCCTTTTCACCGTTTTTTTTAATATTCTTTTTATTTGTTTATTTATTCCCCTCCGATCATAATTAATTCAATCCATGTGCTTAATTAACAGATTTAACAATTCATCTTTCATAAAAATCATAAGCATGAAAATTAAGGACGTTAATTATAACATGGAACTTTGACACTTAATTTTATTAAGATAGATTATACAACGCTTACTTGTATTCATTTTTTTTGTACAAAATTGCGGAACATCTTTATTAAAGTGAACTCACTAGGACAAATGCGGAGATTTGATTAAAATCGTTGTTTAAAGACACAAAATAGCATATGCATTTTCGACTTCCATCTCAGACTTCCCGAAATACGATGGTCCGACGGACGTGTCCGATAAATTTTGATCAGGTCAGACGAGTTTTTATTCCGGATCGGTCCGACTGTCCGGCTTTTATCCAAGCCGCATGTATACAAAATGGCGTCGCTAAAGGTGCCAAACCTTGGAAAAATAAAAAATCTACGTCAGAGGATCAGGCAGAACAGCAGTAAAAGGATAAAAAGAATAGACCTGAGACAAAATTTAATGTAAAATAGAAGCAAGACAGTGAATCGTTGGTGTATGATAGGGAGGAGATGAAAATGCGCGGTAAGGAAAGTGCCGATTTTTACGTCGAAAAAATTAAAAACAAAATGTGTCTTAGAAATACAAACACAAGTTATTCTTTGATTTTGATCAAATTTTATTTGGTCCGACAGATTTTGTTTCGGTCCGACAGATTTTCATGGTTTGTCAGACCGAATGTCTGACATTTTTTTTCAACTTTCAGGAACGTACGGGCCCGTACGGCTAGCCACTTCCTAGATTGAAACGGTAATAGGACATTTCGGACCATGGACGTTTCGGACCAGACACTTCGGACCAGATTTTGGGACACTTCGGACCATATTTCGGGACATTTCGGACCAGATTTTTGGACATTTCGGACCATGTGTTGGACATTTCGGACCATGAGTTAGACACTTCGGACCATTGTTTTGGACATTTGGGATCATGTATTATATACTTCGGACCATTGTTTTGGACATTTCGGACCAGATTAAATATTATTTTATGAAATTAGCCATCAATTAATCAATAAACTAAAGAGTAGCTTTAGTATATATTAGACACCATGGAAACGATACTACACCTATCCCGATTTAGATTTTATATATTTTGCAATATAAATGAAGAAAATTAAGGAAAAAAACAACAACAAAAACAATACAAGCAATGTTTTGGTGACACACGTTTGCAAACAATTTATTATAAAGTATATACAAAAAGACATGACAAAATATAACTTTTTTCAGTTTGTAAGCTATATAAGTTATGAAAATGAAATAAATTTTAACACTGTGTTATATTGCAGCCTGGACATCAAATTTTTGACAAATAATTAATCCATTTGTTTGTTGTTTATTGTTGATTTAAACTGTACTTTAATCGCATTCCAATCAAACCAATCAATTTAAATATTTGTTGTCAAATTAGGTAAAAATTACAATACATACTTCATTAATTGAGTGAAAGGTGACACAAACGAGTTCTATTCAGCAATTTAAACGTGTGAAAAACTGCACTGACAAGGATGTCGTTGTTCTTTATTACCTGCCAGAACACAATTTAACTTGGTAAAAATTTACTCTAAATGTATATAAATCAATTTCAAAACACCCTGAAATAACAAATAATCATATATTAAAAAGGAATAAATGGTCTGTTGAAAAAAAGTTCTGGTCCGAAGTGTCCCCATCATGGTCCGAAATGACCATATCATGGTCCGAAATGACCATCTCATGGTCCGATATGTCCCAAAATCTGGTCCGAAATGACCAAAAAATCTGGTCCGAAGTGTCTGGTCCGAAACGTCCGTGGTCCGAAATGTCCGTAATTCATTGAAACCATCTAGTTCTAGGTTCTCCAATCAGTCAACACTGTAAATTGGATGTTTTTATGTTTCCAACTTATAACGGATTGTTATCATATGTTCAAAGCAGATGTCAAATTCGAAAACAGACCAAACCTAAAGAGATTTGGAAGATCTGTACACAAAACATGCAAAAGTGGGCCGGAAAAAGTTGCGATCTTTGCTTTTAAAGTTTAATGGGAAAGTGAAATATATATGCTAAGTTTGTGGTGTTTCAGATATATACGTTATCTAAGATTATCTTCCGAAAACCCAAACCTGTAGAATTTGAATGACAACGTAGCTTCATCAACATCTTAGCTGAAATTATTTGCTAATTGGTTTAGCAGATTTGTCTCCAATATAAACAGGAAATGACGTCACTTGTTTTTTAACGAATAACTATTTTACAACAGAAAATCTTTCGTAGCCGAATTCGTCTCATCAACGAATGTAAATTTATAAATCTATTTGATGTTAACTTAACGCCACTCAGACAAACTACATACTTTCATGTCTAAGAAATTTAAACATATATGTACCTGTATGTTTCCTAAATTGCTAGTATATTTCCAACGAAAAGAACTAGAGCAAGGTTTAATGGCGACCTCCTGCAATTATCGACACCCGCCTATATATAGCGCCTATACTATCATTTACATGACGTGTAGATCTACAAATATATATTAAAACATCATAATTATTTTTGAAAATAGATATTATCAATTTCTGATAATAAATGTCTACAAATTGCAATAAAAATCAATTTAAATGGTAGGCCTATGCTTAATGTTTTATAAGTCACTTTCGTATTTTTCAATGTGGGCGGAAGGATGAGTATAGAAACAATGCAATAAAATCACGCCTGGTAAATGATAGAGCTACCTGTTTCGGTGGTATTTGGTAAATCGCTCTATCGCTACTTCCGAACTAGTGCATGTGTTAAGTGTTGTCATATTTTATATATTTTGTAAACCCTACATTCCTATAATTCAGCGTTGAAATGGACCGTTTCATCATGAAACTAAACAGCGATTCAGATTAAAAACAATTAAATACGTTTCAAGTAGATATAAGGTCTAGAAATGAAATAAGATTGAAATCAGATCAAAACATCAGTTAATAAAGAAAATATGGGATAGTTGTTCTTGGAGACGGCTCTGTCATCAAGGAAGTAGGACTCATGTCGCTTAGGAGATAGCTCTATGAACCTTAAACCCCAGTCACACTAGAGCTTAAGATTACTTGCGACCACCGGCGACTTGTAAAACTGACGATCATCAGCGATTGTCTGCGACCAAAACCATTTTTGCACGTATAAATTTACTTCTGCAACTATCGTAAGACCAGTCATCATTGACAATCGCACGACAGGTCATAAGCAAACGTACGATGGTCTCAAGATTGTGTGGGATTATTTACGACTACCCGTGACCTGTCATGCGATCACGTACAACTAGTCGTACGACCATCACACGATTACTAAAGACTACTCAAGATTATCAGTGACTAGTGGCAATTTGTAAAGACTGTCGTAAGATTGTCGCACTTCTGAACGACCATCGTGCGACAGCCTAAGACCTTATAAGATCACTAGCGACCTGTTTGATCGCAAGGAGGTTTTTGTACAAGCTCAAAAACCTCTCTACGACTGAAATTGGTCGTGGGACCTAAATAAGATAACCTGCGACTGTCAAAGATCACCGATGACCGTCGTAAGACGTTTAAAAGATTGTCCGCGACCAGAGGTCACTGGTGATCGTGAACTGGTCTTCACTGGTCGTAAGCTCTAATGTGACTGGGGCTTTACATACAAAGTGTCCGGTTGTTTGTGTATTGTATATTGTATTCATTATATTTATCACGGTACAAAAATTTAGTAAAAACAATAAATTTCTATTATGCTGATGTTATCTGAAAATTGGTCACTGCTTAATTGCAAAGCATGCACTGTGGAAAAACACTGGCTCATTATAATAAAACTAATACAGTCGAACTTCGTTCGCTCGAACTCGGATGGCTCGTGCAAATTTGTTCGAAAGATCGGTAGTTTGAGCCAGGTACGTATATTACGTATTACGTTAATATACGTACCTGTTTGAGCTAACCCAGGTTGAAATTTTATCGCCTAGGACACAGGCTTACAGGTTTTCCAGCTTACATCAGACAGTCGAATGATTAAGGTAGAACGCGACACTTTGCGAACTTTCGAGTAGCGTCTTGAAAATTGGCATGCAAAAAATTGACCATATTTCTGATTGGATTTCGTTGATTTTATTTCAATAGTTTCAGCCAATTTTTGTACACATGACGTCAAAGTTGACCATCAAAGCCCGTTTTTGAACATGACGTCGTTGCGTATCCTTGACAACTGTTACGGGTATTTCAACGCCATTGGCGGACAAAATATCTTAAATCCTACAGCATTCGACGGAAATTATTTTTTCCTTTAAGCAGATATAAAAAATATTGTTTTACGCCGAAAATTCTTTGAGAAATGGAAAGAAAATTGTCAATTTTGTGTAAAATTTGACGTTCAGTTTAGCCGCAATTTTCGGCTTTAAATCGGCTTGATAAAAAATTCCTGAAATAAATTTTTGATTTTTTTCTTTAAACGTCCTTTAAAATGTATACTTAGTCAAAATAACTAAAAAAATTAGGGGATCACCGACTCAATTTTTTCGGTACACGTGATTTTATTCCCCCACCCCGTGAGTAATTTTGTTTCGAAATTCGACGTATGCAGATACGTTTGAGACTTCAAAGTGCGGCAATAATGTTCAGCTTATCAGGAGAATTGTTCTAGAGTTTTACTAATACATATAAAACAACAACAACAATGTTCCATTTCAAATTCTTAACATTGTACGAAAAACAAACGATTTTTTTCTTGTTTTTAAGCATGATTAATAACTTCATAAGGAATTGTAAACAGACGCATGTAAAGAAAATGACGTCAGGCGTTCAACGGCAACGCGTACGCTGCGCAAACAAAAATAAATACAACTGAGAGTAATCATTTGCGGTGTTCCTTTTTGATATTGTAATACAATAAGATAAATAAACTTGAATCGAGAAATATGCCTTATGGAACAAAAAGCAACTATATATTTTTATGTAAATTTAGAAATTTACGGAAATTCAATCATAAATTAATACGTAGTCTACAAGAAATTCTGCAAATCTATACATTTTGCATTACCCACACTATGAGTGATATACTGTGAGTGATATGTATTTTATTTCACCTATTAAAAACCAGAATTTGAATTTCACTTGTAATCAAAAACTATTGCAACAATTTGACAGAATTGGCGAAATATTGACAAATTAAAATATACGGTTCATAAATGAAACTTAGTCAATTATATTAGCGTGAAGCAAACAGTCATGCTTGAAACGTTAGCTCAGTGGGTGTTGGATTACAGATGTAGCACGTTCGATTCTACAAATATCTGTAATACATATTCTCTCGTTTTGCTTATCATTTTAGAATATCATAGTGTTAAAAATAACGATTAATTGAGGATTCACCATCAACGCTGTATTAAAAACATTACTATCAAATCGGCCTTTGCAAATATTCATTATTCACTGTATAGCCAAATTTATGGTAGAATTTATTTTGAACAGGAAAATTTAGAAACAGTACTTTAAACATGAAATATAATGAAACGCTGTAAATACACGTCTGCGGATTTTAGCGAACCGGCGGCACTGAGCTAGATACTGCACAAAGGAGTGTTGCGTTGTAAATCTTTATACAAAATAAAGATATTTCAATATATATTGTCATTTTTTTGTCTGTACATGCTACGGGCACTGTAGAGGATCTGTCTATGTTTCACTAACTATTTAATCAGTATGCAACTGACATGTTAATAAAACCAAGAAATATTACATTTTACTCTAAGTTTCACTATTTAATGTTATTCTGACAAATGTCAGATCAGACTATTATTTCTTTCCTCTTGTAGAAAGTGGGTAATTCTGAAGTACATCTTTATTCACTGTTTTATATACAAAATCTGTATTTATAAGAATAAAAAAAACATATTTTGGTAATATCTGATCGTGTAATTAAAAAAAATACGTATTTTAGTAAATACGAACTTCATTCAAAGTTCCCGCATATTAAGAGTGTACGGATCACGGTATATTAGTCATATACGTATTGCGTTATATACGGTCCCGTACATCAAATTTCACTTATTTTTACCTGTCTATCTATAATATACGGAATTCCGCACCCTTCATTGTATCCATATATTTTCCGCAGTGGTCATAATAGCGTAAAATGTCGTAAAAAGCGGGATTTTGACACAGGGCGATCGTTTTAATAACATCAAAAACCCAAACGCCCCGTGATAGCGTGACTTTTATCCAAAGGGGTGGGGGAAATAAAATCACGTTTACCGAAAAAATTGAGTCGGTGACCCCATAATTTTTTTAGTTATTTTGACTAAGTATACATTTAAAAAGACGTTTAAAGAAAAAAATCAAAAATTTATTTCAGAATTTTTTTTAATAAGCCGCTTTAAAGCCGAAAATTGCGACTAAACTGAACGTTAAATTTTACACAAAATTGACAATTTTCTTTCCATTACTCAAACAATTTTCGGCGTAAAACAATAAATTTTATATCTGCTTAAAGGAAAAAATAATTTCCGTCGAATGCTGTAGGATTTAAGATATTTTGTCCGCCAATGGCGTTGAAATACCCGTAACAGTTGCCAAGGATACGCAACGACGTCATGTTCAAAAACGGGCTTTAATGGTCAACTTTGACGTCATGTGTACAAAAATTGGCTGAAACTATTGAAATAAAATCAACGAAATCCAATCAGAAATATGGTCAATTTTTTGCATGCCAATTTTCAAGACGCTACTCGAAAGTTCGCAAAGTGTCGCGTTCTACCTTAATACGTCATTCTTGTTTTATTACATGCATGGGTGCACTTGTAAATAATGATGAAATTGTCCTGTTTATTCGACTTGTTTACCCTGCCATTGATGATTCTGCATCTGCAGACTTAGAAATGCATACATGGTCCACGGTTTATGGCACAAGTGTATCGAAACTGCTCCAGGAGGCTTACTGTAGGGTTTCAGAACAGAAAATACGTTTTATTTTAGACTTGTAGATAGTACATTGCCATGCAAATAGATAAATTAATCAATTATCACGTCACGTGATCATGATAACACAAAAAAAACAATATGACATTTAATCAGGTAATGGGAAATACATTGTGGCAGTGCTATGGAATTTAGCGGGTGTATTAATAAGGCAAATTCCAATTATCCCCCGGGTTGGGATTGACTGATGCATAATTTGTCTACTATATACATATACTCGCCAAGAAGAGAAGCGTTTTTATACTGTTTCAATATCTTTTTACTTATTTCACAGTTTAAAAAAGTGCTATATAAAAAGTATCTTTACCAAAAGTCTA